GCCCGTCTCAAAAAAAAAAACCAACCAAGGGAGGAAGAACGAGTGTCTCTACTATGCTTCGGTGCGGATTGAGCGTGAACTCAAGGGTCCATTTGGGGCTCCTGGGCGAGATCTCCAGGGAGCGACTGGAGACGCAAGCTTGGGAGTTCATCTGTGTTGGGTGACATTTAAAGCCACAAAACCTGGGATTCGAGCACAGTGACTCTCGTCATTACAATCCAGCCTTTGGGGAGCTGAAACAGGTGCCATCACCTGAGTCTCAGGAAGTTTGGAACCACGCCTGGCCAACCATGCGTGAACTGCCCTGTCTCTACTAAAAATAACCAAAATACAACCGGGCTTCGGTGCCGCATGCGTAATCAGCTACTACGGTGAGGCTCGAGGCATGAGCCGTTAACTTAAACTGAGAGGCAGGCGGTTGCAGGAGCCCGAGATACCCTGCCTCCAGCCGGGGCGACAGGCAGACTCATCGTGAAAAATAAAAAATAGAAAAAAAAAATATCAAAAACAAACAAAACAGCAATATTTTTAGTAGAGACAAGGTTTTGCCATGTTGGCCAGGCTGGTCCTGAACACCTGGGTTCCCGGGCTCAAGTGATCTGCCTGCCTCGGCCTCCCCAAGTGCCGGGATTACAGGCGTGAGCCACCATGCCCAGCCTGATAATCATCTCTTAACTAAATCAAGGATCAGCAGACTTTGTGAAAAGTTTGTAAATAGCAAATATTTTAGGCCTTGAGGACCAGGCGGTCTGTGTCAACTCTGCTGCTGCGGCAGGAGGCTCGTGCAGACGCTGGGTGAATGAACACGCATGGCTGTGCTGCAGTGGGCCCTTATGGCAGAAACAGGCCCCACGCAGGACTCGGCCTACACGGTGTACTTTGCCTGGCCCAAGTTAGAAGGACCCCTGCCTCCTGACTGGTGCCAGTTTTTATGGTGAAAGTTTGGGAATGTGTTGCGATTTGAGCAGCCGTCCCAGATGGACAAAGAGAGCTCCTCGCACACTGCCCAGAGGTCCAGGGAAAGGCAGCCGGCCATGGAGTCCCACATGGACTCCCACAAGGCAGGTGCTGCTTCCTGTCTGATGTTGCAGGAAGCATGTGGATGGACATGGTGGGGCATGAAGCCTGAATTTAATTAGTGTGTTTAGGGCCAAAGGCCTTCTTCGGCAAGAGCACTTTGGCAGCATTATATTTGATGAAAGCAAGTTTCTCTCTGAGCTGAGGTGCATGGATTTGGTTTCCAGGTTCTCCAGTCACTAGCTGCATAACCATGGAATCAAACCTTTTGAAACCTAAATCTCTGCAGCAAGAGTAATTCTTCCAGCTCTCTGTATCTTCCTGCCGAGTACCTCCAGCATTCCGAAGTCATGGCTTGGATGTTTTGAAACTGCTCAGAGGAAGGGAGTTATGTGTGCAACCAGCTTAACGCAGAAGGTAGTCCTGGCTTGGAAAACGCTGGTAACGCGCTGGGCGCGTGACGTTTTCCAGTGGTGCTTTGAGAAAGCCTCTTTGACAACAGCCCCTTTGAGGTGGTGGTTTTGATGTGGGATCATTTGGATGGGACTGTTCGGCTTCACAAAAGTCATTCACCAGTGTACAAAGCCAGCAGCCTCTTCCATCCCTGAATAGGGCCAGGGAAGGGGGTGCAGGTCAGGAAGGGGTGCTCAGGGTGGGGGCTGACCACCGCCTGCCAGACAAGGCGTCATCTAATTGCCACAACTGCCCATCACAGAAAGGACCCCTGACAGTCGCGAGCGAGCATCTGTGCATGCTCTCACAATCGGCTTGCATCTTGAATGGGTGACATCCTCAATTCTCCATTTCTTAAAGTTAAAAGACCTTGCGTGTGTGCTGGAGCCTGGGGCAGAGGCAGATACTTAAACCACAACATCATCCTTTATTCTCAGCTCTAGGCTGCACAGGAAATCCCCAATTAGATGTGTAAGAGTCGCCTCAGGACTCTTAATAATGCACATACATTACAGCCAGCATCACAGAAGTCCCTTTAAAAGACGGTTTTAGGGACAGGGCTAGGACCCCTTTATAGATTAGCCTAGTTCTTACAGGCTGTTTTTCTTTTTCTTTTTCTTTTCCTTGTCTTAGACGGAGTCTCCAGCCAGGGCTGGAGTGCAGTGGCACGGTCTCGGCTCACTGTAGCCTCCACCTCCCAGGTTCAAGCAATTCTCCTGCCTCAGCCTCCCTTTTTTTTTTTTTCCTCTTTGAGACAGAGTCTTGCTCTGTCACCCAGTCAGGAGTGCAGTGGCACAATCTCAGCTTTCTGCAACCTCCGCCTCCCAGGTTCACGCAATTCTCCTGCCTCAGCCTCCCGAGTAGCTGGGATTACAGGTGTCGGCTACCATGCCCGGATAATTTTTGTATTTTTAATAGAGACGGGGTTTCACCATGTTGGCCAGGCTGGTCTCGAACTCCTGACCTCAGGTGATCCTCCCACCTCGGCCTCTCATAGTGCTGAGCCACTGCACCTGGCCTAGGCTTTTAATCATTTGTTCTTTTTTTCAGACTAAAAAACAAGCAATAGATACAAAACTCTTAATGGCAAAGACATGAACCAAACAGGAACTTGTTTCACCGTTTATGTGGTGGTTTGGTGAGATGCTTCCGGAAGCCTGCCAGGGTCAGAGTCCTCCCGGGTCTGCTGCATCATTCCCGTTCATTGTGCCATTTCATTCTCAGGAGCACCCTGTGACGTGTATCAGGGCCTTACTTTGGGTCACTTAGCCAGAAAGTGAAACAGGTTCCACGTGCTAGGCTGGTGGGCCGAAGGTGACGCCACGCCACACCCAGTGCCAGCTGCTCATGTCCAGATCCTAAGGGGGCCTCTGGGCTGTTCCGCCCCTGGGTTTACTGTCTCAAACAGTGGGCCTGGCTGGGGACCAGGGAATGGGCCGTCTCTTGATGAGAGGAAGAGAGGCAGTGTCTAGAGCTTGTTGTGTTTTATTGTTCCTGTTGTTAAATGTGTGTTATATTGCTGTAAAATCGAGCAGAACACACTGACATGAAGTAAAGAGGAAGTTGCCTTCTCTTCCTCTCCCCTCCCTCTGATTCTGCTCCCTGGGGTGACCCTCAGTCGTAGTGGGATATGTCATATGCTGGGGGTGGGCATCGCACGTGTCTGCGCACGTCTGTGTCCATGCATGTGTGTAGGCTTGTGTGTGCATGCACACACACACACACACACAGACACACACACGCACACACACAGCCTCTGCTGCTGTTTTCACCCATGAACTTACTGGGCTCAGCCACGTTGCCCATCCTTCTTTATGTAGATTTAGCTCGTTCTTGGGAAACATCTTCACTGCCTCCCTTTTCCCCATCCTCATTTCAATGGGTCGTTAAGTCCTGACAGTTTTCACCTCTCTCTGATACTGTTGCAATGTATCCCTTCTCCTCATTCTTTCTCTGTCCATGGGGCCAGCTTCCCTCCACTAAATCAGACTCTCTCTGCCGGGCCAGGCTGGTCCCGGGATCTGCATTGCAGCAGCTGCCTGGGTGGGTCTCAGAGCCCTGGAGCTTGAGGACTGCCGGCCCTGAGGGAGAATCCAGGCTCCTTCCTATGGGCTCGAGACCCTCCTGCTACCTCCTTCCGCCCACACCCATGCCGCCTGCTTGCCAGCCTTCCTGCCCTCCCAGGATGCCCTCCCTGACTCTGGCCGCACCCAGCGCTCCTCTCCTGGGCCCTTATGGAGCCGCCCTGTAGGCCTCTCTGTCCACTCGCCAGAGGGGATTGCCGTGGTTTGTTCATGCCCTTCCTGGGTGGTCCATTCCCGACTCACCTTCCGTACCTGGCATTGTTGACGTGCAGCGAGTGAAAAGTCTGACCTGACAGAGCCAGTGGGTGGGGTTGGGTCTTCTGGCTCCGGGACTGGTGCCCTGAGCCAGGGATGGGCCTTACTGATGGGAGAGCGAAGGGCTCCTGCGTGCCTGGGTGGGCTCTTCTTCCATCAGCAGGTGGCGCTGTCCCCCTGGTCTGCCGTAAGGACTGCAAGGGAGGGAGCCCCGGGCCCCCTCTGTCCTTCCCTGGGGCGATGGCCGTGCCTCAGGCCAAGGTGCGTCTGCTGATACCCGGCCCTCCTGTCCCTTCCCTTGCCAGGATGCTGGTGGAAAAGTACTCAGTGTCCCTGCAGACCATCCCGCCGGTCCATCCAGGTGAGACTGTGTTTCTGCCCAGGCGTCACTCCCTGCCATGCATCCTGGACTCCTCACACCTGAAGCCACGCAGCCGCCTGGAAGGGCTGTTCCTCAGGTGAGTGTGGGGACGAGGGGTGAGGGGGTGGCGCAGCCTGTCCAGGACCCCTCCCTCCTGGAGTCCAGGGATAAGGACCACCCGAAAGGGGGAAATTGGAAGAGGTGATGAGGCCAATTTGAATGTGTCAGTTTTTAGAGAGATAGGTGATGTTGTCTACTTACGGTATGTTATTTACTAATTTTGTGACACATAATTGAAACATTCCCACATTATGGCAAGTAGCCAGTTGTTCCTTTACAGGTTCATGTTGCTTTTTTCTCCCCTACGCCCCAGTGTGGCAGGACAGCAGACTCAGCATGCGTGCCTCGGGGCCGGGTCTCTGTCAGCACTGGCTCCTTCCTGGGCCATCGAGGGCATGTGATGGGCCTTTCCACCTACTTGTTGGAGGGATTTCAGTGTGTGATGCTGACACTGAAAAGCCTGTCCCCAGCCGCAGGCACACACTCTAACAATACAACAGCTGTCTTATTCTTTGTGGGAGTAAATTCATGATCATTATCACATAACCATTGACTATATTGCTTTTTGAGAGAATTTTTAAAAGATTTACCACAACCGTATCCAACACTTGGAATTAGGAGCTAATATATCCAAGAGGAAGAGGAAGGAAAGCCCGCAGGGTTCAGTGCAGCGGCGTCTGCTGGGTGCTCACACAGGCTGGTGCCCTGTGGGGCTGGAGGCCAGGGCCGTGGAGAAGGGGCTGTCCTCGCCCACCCAGTGAGGAGCAGAGGTGGAGCTGCTTCTGTGGTCTCTTCAGCCACCTTAGGACTCGAACGCCAGAGTCTTGCTCTCTTTTCCAGTTTTACAGGGCTTATGTTTATTTTATGAATTCCAAGTCCATCTTATTGTATGATACAAGGTTACTTTTAACATTTTCATATGCTTTCTTTAGAAGTTTTTATCGTAGGAAGTTAACAAGTACATATCAAAGTATAGAGAACCATGTAACATTCCTCCACACTCCCATCACCTATTGCTGCACTTTTCTACATGTTGATTCTCACCTCAAAGCCATGTTCTTTGTTTACTCTCAATAGTCTGTCTTCTCATTACCACACTCAGCGATTTTATTATTACTTTTTTCCACCGGACCGTTCGCTCTGCTTGCCCCCGCAACGGCGAGTGCCGTCGCACGCCCTGGTCCACCGTGCGCGACCTCTCGCCTCCCGCCAGGTTCAGCGCAAGTTCTGTCACTGCCTCAGCTCTGCGCCTGCCGCGTAGCCTGGGCTCCCAGGTGCCCTGCCGCCTACCCCCCCGCCCTCGCTACCTCTCCTCTTGTATTTCAGCTCCCGCGGGGCTTCTCACCGCTCTCTCAGCGTCTCCCAGGCGCTGGTTCGCACTCCTGACCATTGTGATCCCGCCGCCCCCCCCGGCACATCCCAAGTGGCTGGGATTACAAGGCATGAGCCGCCGATCTGCCGCCGGCCACCATCAGGATTCAGCGTCTTCCTTCTTGTGTTTGTTTGAGACAGGGTCTCGGCTCGTCACCCCAGCTGGAGTGCATTGTGGGTGTAATTCGGCCTCACTGGCAAGCGTCTGCCTACTGGAGTTCACCCATTCTCCTGCCCAGCCCTCCCGAGTAGCTGGGACTACAGGTTACCCACCCCACCCGATTAACGCAGGCCTCTAATTCTTGCTGCCTATTTTTATAGAGATGGGGTCTTTCACCATGTAGAAGACGCCGGATGGTCTCGATTCTCA